AATGTATGTAGGTGGGTACCTAGGTATCTACGGCATGCTGGGCCCGTGCAACACCGTAGGGAAAGTTCGTGCGGCTCGTTCGTATTCCCGCATTTCCTGTTTGTCGTTGTTGTACATACCACTAGCACCGCTAGCAGCCACGCTAGTAGTAGTTTCATTCTTGCGATGGTTACAAGAGCTATACGTTACTGGAATAAAATATATCCTTATTATAATACCCGACAACAACGGAAGCAACCACGCAGCAGACAGGAAGGAACGGCAAAAACCGGGACTCTCTAATCAGCCAAGTCAATTTGTGAATGCTAATTTGTGGCTGTTTTGGAAGTTGAGCAGGAATGCTTCGCTTAGATTGCCGTATGAGGGAATGATCCGTGCACGCACAACAACAAGGCTTTCTGTAACCGAGAGATTGGTAATCGAATGGATTCAATTTCGGGGATAGCCAAATCAGTGATTTTACGATCGTTATGCTTTTGGCTGGCAAAGACTTTAATCAAACAGTAAGATGGCACTGGTGAATGTTCTAGGCACGTATGAACTTTGTAAATGTTTAAGTATATACTTGTTGTACTTAGAAAACTGCAATCAAATCCGAATGTGCGATCCTCATCGACTCCCATCGCCATACTGAACATATTTTTTCGTTAATTTTCTCACGCTCATTTCTCAGAATCACAGAATTTCGTAGATGAAACAATTGATTTGTTAAATACACATTAGACTGATGCAAAAAATTTTCGCTCCACAGTGCTCAAACGGTTCCAAATTGGGCCCTGATTAGCCTCCCGAAATTTGAACTCATTTAGTGAGAAACTGACTTGGCAGAAACCATTTGAAGTTTATATGGGAATTACTATGGTGAAACCATAATTTCGTTTCATATATATCTCACAATTCACCAGTTCACTCTACTTTAGGAAATGATAGCTAAACTTGTTGAAAATTTTCTCAGCTACAACTTTGTTAAAGACCACTTTACGATCAAATGTAAGAAACAAAAGTTATTAATGATTCAAGTCACTGATGTCTTATGATTATGCTCAATCAACTGTGCAGCAGGCAACATTGGTGTTTATGGTAGAATAGAGGACAAAAATCATGGCTACTAAGTTACACTACAGAATACAGTGTTGCCTACAATACAATTGCCTTATCTTGCCATAAGATTATCAATCTCTTAAACAATTAATAACTATTTAATTTGACGTTTGGCTGAAAAACGATTTTCTGCAAAGTTGTAGCTGATAAAAATTCCCATAAGAATAGCAATAGAATTTGTTAAAAGTACAATTTGTAAAAAGGCTAGAAGACAATGAACAAAAAGTTTTGTTTTCCCATAGTAATTTCCATATAAACTTCAAACGGTTTGTGCCAAGTCAGTTTCTCACTAAAAGAGTTCAAGTTTTGGGAGGCTAATCAGGGCCCAATTTCGAACCGTTTGAGCACTGTGGAGTGAAAATTTCAAATTTTGCATCAACCTAATGCGCATTCGTATTGCATGTCGGCAGGTGCAGTACCAACATTACACATAATCCGTAAAATACAAGAACTGTATTTCGTACGGACGTAAACACTGCTCATTCGTTTATTCGTGAACAGTACAAAAACGATCGTTCTCATACGTAAATAATTCGTGCATACTAGCTAGGAGCGCTATTCGTGAAAATTATGAAACATTCGTTATTAAGTTGTGAGGCCTCCCTTAGCTCAGTCGGAAAAGGCGCAGCTACAAAGCAAGACCATGCTGGAGGTGGCTGGGTTCAATTCCCGGTCCGGTCTAGGAATTTTTCGGGTTGGAAAATTTCTCGACTTCCCTGGGCATAGAAGTATGATTGGACTTGTTTATGTTTATGTTTTATAGGAATACAGACTTTGTTGCAAGTCACAGACTTTACTGAAGTTCTCAGGCTTTCTTGAAAGTTCCAGATTTTCCCTGAAGTTTGCTGAATTTTCCTGAAGTTTGCAGACCTTTCCAAATATATGCTTAACTTTCCTGAAGCTCGCAGAATTTTATTTGGGTTTATACAAGTTATCTGGGTTTTCAAATCTTTCCAGCAGTGTATTGAAATATTCAAAAGTTTTCGGAACATTCGAATTTTTATATAGATTTCTAAATCTTTCTTAATTTAACATAATTTTCTCGAAGGCTTAGAACTTCCTTGGAGTTGGTAGAATTTTTCCAAAGTGATCTGATGTATTTTGAAGTTCGCAGAATATACTTGAAGTTTGTAATATTGTATTATAGCATTTAAAACATTCTTGTATATGTGCACTGTACTGTAGGAATCTCACAGATATTTTTAAAGGAATTGTTAGCAGATTAATTTTGGAACTTGCAGTCTTCCTTGAATTTTGAAGAATTTTTCAAAAATTCAAATACATCCTGAATGTCGTAGAATTTTTCTGAAGTTCATGAACTTTCCAAAGATAAAATTTTCTTAATCTCGTTAAATTTTCGTAAGTTTACAAAAGCTCCCTGAAGCTTACTTAACTTTCATGTTGTTCCCTAAGTTCACAATTTTTTTGACGTAGGACTACGTCTTTCATTTCTATATGGGGGTACACTTTGTGAAACTCGAAATAACATGAAACAAAATTATGAAAGATTTTGAACCTTAATAACTCATCTGCCCCTAGACTTATTTCAATAATTTTATCACCTTTCGATCAGAAATATTGGTACGCATCTTTAACAACTGATGATTTTCAACAAGAAGCTATTGAAAAAGTGGTAATGTCAAGCGTTGTCCAATGTACACATAAAAAGTGATAATTTTATCACTTTTAAACGTTTTTCCCAGACCCAGTCCTCATATAGTCGAGTACCACTTGGTTGCACCTCATTCTGCTTTAACCTGACAAGATATAAAGCAGCGCTGCTGTCTGGCATCAGCTCATTTTCGATTCGGACGGCGTGGATAGCAATAGCAGCAGTAGGAAGGTGGTGGCTAGTCCACTCTTGTACAACCCAACAAGCAACAATTGACTGGTCGTGGCAAAGGAGGTGCCAATCGTTATCGTAAATTCTTCGAGATAGCCACCATCCGTCGTCTGGCTCACCGTGGTGGTGTCTGACGTATCTCCGGTCTGATCTACGAGGTGTGCTGAAGGTTTTCCTGAAAAATGAGATCCGTGAGGCTATCACCTACACTAACCACACCAAGCGTAAGCTGCCATGGATGTCATCTACGTTTTGAAGTGATAGAGACGCACTCTGTTTGGTTTCGGAGGTTAAATCATCACCAACTTTGGCAACAAAACGGCCCTTTTTAGGGCCACCAAGCTCGTTACAGTAAAGAGTAGGAATAGAATTCGTCTGCCTGTTTGTCCATATTCAGAACCAAACACCTCCAACGACCACACAAAATGCTCATGTAACTAAACTGGAAGCAGGGGTACAAATGCGTTTACCACTACACAACCGGCGCCGCTAACTTTCCAGGTGTTTACATTGGCAAACTGCACAAAAGGAAAGGAGCCAATGTCGCTACTTGATAGCAAACTACTCATGATGGGAGGAGTCTTTGTAGCTTACCTGCGTCGTCATAATCGAGTACCACTTGGTTGCACATCATTCTGCTTTAACCTGAAAAGATATAAAAAAAGCGCTGCTGTCTAGCCTCAACTCATTTTCGCTTCGGACGCCGTGGTGAGCATACAGCAGAACCAGCAAAAGCAGTCGTCTGGCTCGCCGTGGCGGTTTCAAACGTGTCTCTGGTCTGATCTACGAGAAAACACAAGGTGTGCTGAAGGTGTTCTTGGAAAATGTGATCCGTGATGCTGTTACCTATACGGGACACGCCACGGCCATCGATGTCGTCTACGCTTTGAAGCGACAGACGAACTCTGTACAGTTTCGGAGGTTAAATCATCCCCAACTTTGGCAACAAAACGGCCCTTTTCTGAGCCAACAAGCTTATTATAGTAAAAGGTTAGAATAGAATGTATCTGCCTGTTGGTCCATATTCAGAACCACATGCCCCCAACGACCACACAAAATGCTCTCCAGAGTTGTAATCTTGTAACCAAACTTGGAAGCAGGGATGGAAGTGATTTTGATTGATTCTCTTCATCAACTTTCTCTTTGAAAAAAAAAATACTACAAATTTGGTACGCCTACAAAAAAAAACGGAAAGAGTTAAGATAATAGATGATCGATCAATTAAAAGAACTAAATTTTCTTCAAATTTGTTCCGTGCCCTATCGGTTCCCCTAGGCACAGACCCTTTTACTTTTTTGCACGTTTTTAGATCGTTCCGGAAGATCAGAGATGTCTATGAAATTTTCAGTTTTTTTAGATTCACAGACTTTCCTAATATTTTCAGAGATTTCCTGAAGTTCATTGAATTTTATTGGAATAAGCAGAATTTACTTAAGTTTCCAGTATTTTTCCTGAAATACACTAACTTCACTGAAGTTGACAGAACATTTTCCCAGACTTCCCTGTATTAAGTATAATTTACTGAAGTTCATAGATTTCCCTAAAGTTTTCAGACTGTCTTGACGTTCACAGACGTTTCTGAAATTCCCAATTTTTTTCCTGAAATTTGCCGAATTTACCTGAAGTTTTCAGTACCTTCCAAAACCTTGCTATGATTTCGAAGTTTACCAATGTTGATAGGCCCTTTTCTATTGATTCGCCAGGACTTTGGAATAAATGCTAGAGATGATGGCGGGACTACAATTTTGACAGTTGGATGTGTATGTATTGATGAAAATGCTTGCATGTTACCCATATGTTACCAATACATAGCAGCAACGATCAATTCTCCCGTAGCTTTTCAAAAGGTCTTAAGTAACAAATGTAAACAAATTGAGTTAATCGATACAAACTATTGCCTTTCTATGATTGTATGTAATACAAAAACACTAGACTGCCAATGAATGTGTGGGAAAAATTTGACCATCAAATTTCGCTAACATTTTCGTCGAACAGTACTTACCTTACCAAGGCTAAGGCCTTGTTTTCCTCTGCTGTCCGAAGAAGTCGTCTCCACTCTACTCGATCCATGGCCACAGTTCGCCAGCCTCGTAGTCTGCGAAGGGTCCGCAGGTCACCTTCTACTTGGTCGATCCACCTTGCCCGCTGCGCGCCTCTTCTTCTTGTTCCTGTTGGGTCGCTTTCTAGAACCATTTTCACTGGGTCGTCGTGCGGCATTCTTACGACGTGCCCAGCCCACCGTAGTCGCCCAATTTTTGTAATGTGGACGATGGATGGTTCTCCCAGCAGCTGGTGCAATTCGTGGTTCATTCGCCTCCTCCACGTTCCGTCATCCATCTGCACTCCACCGTAGATGGTACGCAACACCTTCCGTTCGAAAACACCAAGGGCGCGTTGGTCCTCCACGAGCATAGTCCAGGTCTCGTGGCCGTAAAGGACCACCGGTCTAATCAGCGTCTTGTAGACAGTCAACTTCGTGCGGCGGCGAATTTTATTCGACCGGAGCGTCCTCCGGAGTCCAAAGTAGGCACGATTCTCTGCCATAATGCGTCTTTGAATTTCTCTGCTGGTATCATTTTCGGCGGTCACCAGTGAGCCCAAATACACGAACTCATCGACCACCTCGATTTCGTCACCGTCAATCTGAACTCGGGGTGGGAGGCTAACATTGTCTTCCCTAGAACCTCTTGCTTTCATGTATTTTGTCTTTGATGCGTTGATGGCAAGTCCAATCCGTCTAGCTTCAGCCTTCAGTCTGATGTACGTTTCCGCCATCATCTCAAAGTTCCGTGCCATAATGTCAATGTCATCGGCGAAACCAAGGAGCTGGATGGACTTCCTGAATATCGTGCCATTCGTGTCTATCCCAGCTCTTCTGACCACACCTTCTAACGCGATGTTGAACAGCAGACACGAAAGTCCATCACACTGCCGTAACCCCCTTCGAGATTCAAAGGGACTCGAGAGTGTCCCCGATACTCGAACAACGCACATCACTCGATCCATCGTCGCCTTGACCAATCGCGTCAGTTTATCCGGAAATCCGTACTCGTGCATAATCTGCCATAGCTGATCTCGATCGATTGTGTCGTATGTGGATTTGAAATCGATGAACAAATGATGTGTGGGCACGTTGTATTCGCGGCATTTCTGCAGAACCTGCCGAATCGCGAAAATTTGGTCCGTGGTAGCGCGGGCACCCATGAATCCCGCCTGGTATTGCCCCACGAACTCTCTTGCATATGGTGACAGACGGCGGCATAGAATTTGGGAGAGTACCTTGTAGGCGGCGCTCAGCAGTGTGATCACGCGGTAGTTGCAGCAATCCAACTTGTCGCCCTTTTTGTAGATTGGGCATACGACACCTTCCATCCACTCCTCCGGTGATATCTCCTCCTCCCAAATCTTGGCAATTACCCAGTGCAGCGCTCTAGCCAGTGCTTCACCACCGTATTTCAATAGCTCACTTGGTAGTTGATCTACACCAGTTGCTTTGTTGTTTTTCAGCCGACCGATCTCCTCCTCAACTTCTTGAAGATCAGGGGCCGGTAGCCTGTCGTCTTCTGCGCGTGCTCCAAGGTCTGTTGCCGTGCCACCTTCGTTTTCTGCTGCTTCACCGTTGAGGTGCTCGTCATAGTACTGCTTCCACCTCTCAATCACCTCACACTCGTTCGTGAGAAGGTTACCGTCCAAGTCCTTGCACATATCGGCTTGCGGCACGTAGCCTTTGCGCGAACTATTTAGCTTCTCGTAGAACTTCCGTGTGTCGTTTACGCGGTACAGATTTTCCATCGCCTCGCGATCTCGGTCTTCCTGCTGACGCTTCTTCCTTCGGAAAACCGAGTTTTGTCTGTTCCGCGCTTGTTTGTATCGCTCCACATTCAATCTCGTGCGGTGTTGCAGCATTCTCGCCCGTGCTGCATTCTTCTCCTCTACTAACAGTTTGCTTTCGCCGTCAAACCAGTCATTTCTTCGGTCCGGAATCGCAGTACCTAGTACCGTAGCAGCAGTACTACCTATGGTGGAACGGATGTCCCTCCAGCCATCTTCAAGAGAAGCTGCGCCAAGCTGCTCTTCCGTGGGTAGTGCAACTTCCTATGTTGCTCAATGTTGGGTCGTGGCGTTCGACTTCGACGTGTGTTATGCACCGTCGAGAGTTTTGAGCGCATGCATACTGCAACTAGGTAGTGGTCCGAATCTATGTTCGCACTGCGGTACGTGCGGACGTTGATAATGTCGGAGAAGAATTTCCCGTCGATTAGAACGTGATCGATTTGGTTTTATGTGTGTTGGTCAGGTGATCTCCAGGTGGCTTTGTGGATATGCTTGCGGGGGAAAAAGGTCCTTCGAACTACCATACCCCGGGAGGCTGCAAAGTTCACGCATCGTTGGCCGTTGTCGTTCGAAACGGCATGCAGGCTGTTTGGCCCGATTGCCGATCTATACATTGCCTCCCGTCCTACCTGAGCGTTCATGTCACCGATGACGATTTTGACGTCCCGTTGCGAACAGCCGTCGTACACCTGCTCCAGCTGCGCATAGAACGCTTCTTTCTCGTCGTCGGGTCTCCCTTCGTGTGGGCAGTGCACGTTGATGATGCTGTAGTTGAAGAAACGGCCCTTAATCCTCAACTTGCACATCCTCGCGTTGATCGGCTGCCAACCAATCACGCGTTGGCGCATCTTACCCAGCACTACAAAGCCGGTTCCCAGCTCGTTGGTGGTGCCACAGCTCTGGTAGAAAGTAGCCGCTCTATGCCCGCTTTTCCATACCTTTTGTCCCGTCCAGCAAAGTTCCTGCAGTGCTACGACTTCGAAGTTGCGTGGTTGAAGTTCGTCATAGATTAACCTATCGCAACCCGGGAAGCCGAGCGATTTGCAGTTCCATGTTCCGAGTTTCCAATCGTAGTCCTTATTTCGTCGCGTAGGTCTGTGCCGATTGTTCCGATCCGTATTTCTTTCTTCGGTATTTGCAACTTTGTTTTTTTTTTTTTCCAGGGCGGCTTGTTGGGCCTGCCCCAACCCCCTGTCTCGCCGGGGGACCATCGTGCACAGCTCTGTTTAGAGTCCCACGCTGGCACTAGGACGGTGATCAGCCGCTCCTAACATGGAGAACAGACGCCGTTTTGAGCCGCACCTCCATGGTGAGCAGACGCTCAGGTTTGGTGAAGCATTTCCTCTATCAACGTACTATATGGTTACCGCGCCAGTGTTCGCGTCGCACCTCTTCACTTTGCTATTACCGGACTGGCAACATTGCCCAGGCTACGCCAACCAGCTGTGTCCATGTTTCAGCTGGTAGTCTTTTGTTATCATATGACTCGAGGAGGCGTGAAGTAGGAACTTGTGAGGACCAGGGCTAGGTATTCCGCTCCTTCCAGGTTGTCAACTCACCATTTTGTAGCCCTTTGTCGTCGAACAGACATAGTCCGATAAGGCTGTTTTCCAAATATTGCAAGTGAGTTAAAATTCCTTTATGTACTGCTTTCGCAACGTCTTCATCAACAGTTTCATATTCCTTCAATATTTTTAACAGGTTCAGATCGTTGTTGGGTGTCATCGCAGCACACGGAGAAAGAAACCAACTTTCAAATAAATTTTTACAATGAACACACAAAATCGAGCTAGTTGATTTTTAGTTTTATCTGGTAAAGCAAATTCATGCCGAAGAATAAACATTTTCAAAGAATAAATTATTTTGGCCATCCACCTTGCATTGTGGAACGCACCAGGAGCTCTTATTTGTAATTTTTCATCGATTTTTCCACCCAAATATAAAATGACAAGTTGTAGAACCTCTCGGTAATCACCACGGTGGTGTTGCTCTCTAATTTGTTTTTCATTAAACTCCAATAACGCCAATCTTTCTATTTCCGAAATAGCTATTTTAAAAAAATCATCATCCATACCTGAGTGGTATGAAGTCTTTTCCAAAATGTGCCATTTTTATTGGAATTCCTTACTTGAGACCGTTGCTTGCCTGTAGGAGAACACTTGTTAGTGTGTGTTTTTTAATTAATACCCAAAAGGAAGCCAGATAAACAATATGCTTTATGCGGGTACTTTTTTGGCACCTCTATAGGGTAGGAATTTAAAAGAAACACATATAAAGGGTTGTCCCGTATTAGGTGGATATGATAAAAAAAGTCATTGTACTTTCGTCTGATTGTACTGTAAACTAAACAGCACTAACGGTTGTCCTGTACAATTTTCGGAATTATTCTACGATTTATGTCTGTCTATGCTTCTATTTTAGGTGGTCTCAGATACTAAAAAGTAATATCATCAAATGTTTTGCAGTTTGGATTCTTAAAAATTCCAAAACACAACATGATGATATTTTCAGATACAAGCGTTTGGTAAAAAGTAATGGTTTTTACATACCGTTCATGCAGACGACTACTACTGCCTCTACCCTTAACATAAAATAGGCACTGTGCCTACCCATAGATGTCACCACTTTTCGTTATAGCTTATTATGTACTGTTGTTGTTATGTTACAGTAAATAAACGTCTGTAGTACTTTTACCTCCGCCATGGCAGGACGGTCAGTAAATCGATCGTAAATCATTATTTTCAACTATCACACAACCTACAAATTGGGGCCCATCCGTGCGCGATCACATACCTATTTTGATTTTTGGACCACCCTAATGAAGAATAATTGGACCAGCCTAGGGAATTATTTCGTATTAGATCCTAAATGGTGGTTTAATTCGATATATAAGCAGGTTGGAGACAATTGTGAACAGTTTTAGAAGCCGACTCATCAATCTTCTATATTCCATATAGAACTCATGAAAAAAATTCCAAGTCCCAGAAAGTCGATTTTTGAAAAAAAAAAAAAAAATTTCGAGATAACACCAAATCTCGACGTTTCATGCATTTTTAAGACACTTGGCATCAAAAACATTTTTTTGATTTCAGAAATTTCAAGTAGGAGATTAGGCGGTTAGGTACTCTATTTTGAAATCTGTGAAAGGGAAGCTAGTATGTATCATGTTGAACAAAACGTCCAATGCAACACTCATTATTATGTCATTTAGAAAAATCGTCCAATGTAACACGTCCGATGTACATCTTGACTAGTCAAGTTTTTTTTTTTATTTATTTATTGTAATGATTGTGATTGTGCTTTTGTCGTTCCTACTAAATTTTCAACGTTATTTTCCACTGACTACGTTAAAAGTAATATTGCGGAATGTATTATTTCTACCAGTTAAAATAATAATCTGTCGAAATTCAATTTTAATTTTCTCAAAATTGTAGATCTGTTACATCGGTCCTTTTGAAAAGCTACGCAAGAAGTATTGCTCTTTGCCCGTATAGATCATGTTCTGCTCGTTTTTCATTCAAAAGTGCAGAAAAACTGTCAACCAATATTTTAAGGGTAAAAGTTGACGATCTTCGATTTAGGTCAATTTTGAAATGTCCATAGTGTTTATTTAATAAAAGTTAGTAATTTTGCGAGGCTAAACATAAGTTCATAAACCTTAAAAAGGCACTTCATTTGTTAATGAAGTTTATGACAGTTTTTTTTTCCACAACAATCCAGTTTTCCACAACTTTGTCTCAAACGTAATTTTGATCATAAGAGCCGTTTTCAAGCTATGATTTCTTTAATAAATAAATACGTATTCCGGTACATTTTCCCTAGTAAATAATTATGTGTCAGCTGGCGTGGAACTACTCAAATCTAACGTTAAAACACTTGAGGAACTTCTCTCATTATTTTGTTTTGGAGTCGTTGAAGTCGGTACCATAAATGGAGGGATTGCTGTACTCTATGCCCAGGGAAGTCGAGAAAATTTCCAGCCCGAAAAATACCTAGATCCGACCGGGAATCGAGCCCAGCCCGCTCCAGCATGGTCTTGCTTTATAAATGCACCTTCTTCAACTGAGCTAAGGGAAGTCCCAAGACAATGTGTGATCTCCAATAAATATGAGTTGAGTTTGCCCAGCATCGATCGCAACATTGATAATATTTTACTTTAACACAGCGCTGCCTCTGATTCGCAAAGAAAAACACTATAATCCTGTCCCTGTAAATTTGAAAATAACTTTTATCAACGCATTCACATGTCGGTACGCATACCAGCCTTCTCTGGAAAAAGAATGCTTCTGCATCATCCGCTCCAGTAGCACCAACCTTCGCAACTTCGACTCAGGTATGCGGGTCGGGTTGCCCTTGTCGAATTCAAACAATGTTCGCAGAAATACTTGTCGCCATGCGTAACAACTCAATGAATTCCGGCTGGTAGCATGAACCGTGTGCTGTTATCACTCACATACGTCTTGTTTCGGAAGGCGAATAAACGACATATCCTTTTTGTCCTTTATCTTTCGCAATTCCCAGAAATCGAAACACAAATGGGAAAAGAGCCAAGTCAGGGGTTATTTTATCTGCTTGGAAAAAAACAGACTTCACAGCAAATGGCTACGCTCCGAAGACTTTATTAAACAAAACAAAACAAAAAACTCCCAGCAACAACGGCTTAAGGTAAAAGTCACTCGGAATTTGTTTGCTCGGATAAACACTGGGCTGGGAAGCGGGAGTTTATTTTTTTGCTCGATCCTGGAGAGATTTGAAGGGTTGAACTTCTTTGGAAGGGAAAGCTTGCCGGGAAGTTTGGGATTGGAAGATTTACCTTCCTTTTGATAAAGGGATAATCCTGGGCCCGAAAGGTGTGAGCTTCGCAGCAGTCAATCGGATAAAGGAGTGTTTTGCGGAATTGGGAAAATACAAGTAGCAAATCAATTTTATCTAAATGAAACGAGCCCTATCTCATAATTTTCCCCCGTTCATCAACTAACATTCTCGCAGTCAATCAAAATCATACTTGCATAAGCAACCAATTTGCATTCCTTTGTCATAAAAGCATTTCACCCGGGTCACGAA